ATTGGCGAATCTCGAAAAACGAGCTACTCGTTTTTCGATATTCAGGCTTGAATGTCAAAAATACAAATTTTAATCATGTATATCTACAGAATGTCTCCAAATCACATTTGATTATATAAGTATTCTAAAACGAACTAAAAATATCATAAATTGGGATGCCTGAGCAGTGGATTCACATAAAACTGCTCTTTCTCCTTGTTTTTTTTTTATATTGGCGATTCTCGGAAAACGAGCTACTCGTTTTTCGATATTCAAACTTGAATCTCAAAAAAGTAGATTTAATGGATGTACTTCGATAGAATGTCTCTAAAGCACATTTGATTAAATCAGTTTTCTAAAACGAACTAAAGATATCATTAATGAGGATGCCTGAGCAGTGGATTCACATAAAAATTACTCTTTCTACTTGTTTTTTGATATTGGCGAATGTCGAAAAACGTGTAGCTATCATAAATGAGGATGCCTGAGCAGTGAATTCACATAAAACTGATATTTCTCCTTTTTTTTGATATTGGCGAATCTCGAAAAACGAGCTACTCGTTTTTCGATATTCAAACTTGAATCTTAAATAAGTAGATTTAATGGATGTACATCGATATAATGTCTCCAAAACACATTTGATTAAATCAGGCATCCTAATTTATGATATTTTTAGTTCGTTTTAGAATACTTATATAATCAAATGTGTTTTGGAGATATTCTGTAGATATACATGATTAAAATTTGTATTTTTGACATTCAAGCCTGAATATCGAAAACGAGTAGCTCGTTTTTCGAGATTCGCCAATATCAAAAAACAAGGAGAAATATCAGTTTTATGTGAATCCACTGCTCAGGCATCCTCATTAATGATATCTTTAGTTCGTTTTAGAAAAAGTATTTAATCAAATGTGTTTTGGAGCCATTCTGTAGATATACATCCATCAAATGTGCTTTTTTGAGATTCAAGCCTGAATATCGAAAAACAAGCTACACGTTTTTCGACATTCGCCAATATCAAGAAACAAGTAGAAAGAGTAATTTTATGTGAATCCACTGCTCAGACTTCCCCATTAATGATATCTTTAGTTCGTTTTACAAAACTGATTTAATCAAATGTTCTTTGGAGACATTCTATCGATGTACATCCATTAAATCTACTTTTTTGATTCAAGCCAATATAAAAAAAAACAAGGAGAAAGAGCAGTTTTATGTGAATCCACTGCTCAGGCATCCTAATTTATGATATTTTTAGTTCGTTTTAGAATACTTATATAATCAAATGTGTTTTGGAGACATTCTGTAGATATACATGATTAAAATTTGTATTTGTGACATTCAAGTCTGAATATCGAAAAACGAGTAGCTCGTTTTTCGAGATTCGCCAATATCAAAAAAACATGGAGAAAGAGCAGTTTTATGTGAATCCACTGCTCAGGCATCCCAATTTATGATATTTTTAGTTCGTTTTAGAATACTTATATAAGCAAATGTGCTTTGGAGACATTCTGTAGATATACATGATTAAAATTTGTATTTTTGACATTCAAGCCTGAATATCGAAAAACGAGTAGCTCGTTTTTCGGGATTCGCCAATATCAAAAAACAAGGAGAAAGAGCAGTTTTATGTGAATACACTGCTCAGGCATCCTCTATTACGATATATTTAGTTCATTTTACAAAACTGATTTAATCAAGTGTGTTTTGGAGAAATTTTGTCCATGTACTTCCATTCAATCTACTTTTTTGAGATTCAAGTTTGAATATCGAAAAACGAGTGGCTCGTTTTTCGACATTCGCCAATATCGAAAAACGAGCTAGTTGTTTTTCATTATTCGCCAATATCGAATAACGAGTAGCTCGTTTTTCGTTATTCACCAATATCGAAAAACGAAAATCGAGCTAACTTCACACTGCCATTCAAACCTTTATTTAGACAACTGGAGTCAAATTAATGACTTTGAATTTTTATCTTTTCCCTTATGTCTTTACTGTTAAAACATGGTTGTTTACATGGTAACTGAAAAGACATTCCTACAAATTTATTTTTTGTTACATTTTTGTTATTATGGCCCATATTTAGTTTTCTTTATTTTTAACTATTATAGCAAGAACGCTCATAGACGCCAGTAATGTGAAATATCTCTTTTACTAATAACATTAAGCTGATGCTAAAATATTATGCCCAAAGTCCATTGTGTTCGTATTCATAGAAGTGAGAAAATCAAGTCAGTGTCAAATAAGAAACAAGGATTTTATACCTTGCTACCTTCTCTTTAAATTTTTCTCAGGTGACAACTACGTTCGGCAAACAAAATTTTACTTGCTTCGGTGAATATATGACATTTGATATATTATAAGTGACTGTGTGTCGACCAGTTTGCTAAAATATAAAACTGTTGAATTCTGCAGATATTTTGCAAAATAACAGTAGATTATACGTATTATGTTCTAATGAACAGCTCAAGAAATCTCTGACCAACTCTTACAGGACTAATAATAAAATAATAATAATATATGGTGTGTTTAATTTTCAATAATACGATTAAACCCACGAGGTTAGGCAGAAGTCTACACCTTCCCCTTGCCATGTAGACACCCGAGATTGAGACAATAACGTCTCTTTAAATCCGATAATTAAGCTTACTGTTAATTTATGACTTATTGACCATTATTCATTTAGGTACATACAAGTCTATGATCGATAATAGGTAGCTTAATTTTGATCTACTTACTTTACTATCTACCATACTAATATTGATTTTAACTTAAGGCTATACAGGATAAGTCATTTAAATAATTCACTTTGGTCTTAGATTATTCAAGTGGAATTATATTGTGACAATATGAACAATTAGTACTTACAGTAGTGACAGATGAATGCCATCAATAGCTCTTTAACAATGATATTTGTCCGTGTATGGGGTATGGATTATACCATAGTGATTTATAACCAATAGTCCAATGGCAATGCAGTAAATATTGCGAGTATCTAACAGTTGCAATTCATGCGAATTTTACTTTATTTCAGATGGCTGTTGCATGTAGGTGCAGACAATACGTGTTAAAGAGCCTTCCTGGCACGAAGACCTACTTGGTTCTAAGGAAAATTACTCATGATCAGAGAGAGAGGAGAGAGAGAGGAGAGAGAGAGAGAGAGAGAGAGATAACGTCCACTCGACGTTAGACGCCCACTCAACAAAAACTAGACCATTTCGAGACATGATCAATTTTATTTCAATAATTTCCGTGGGTATATTAGTCTTTAGCTGTGAGAGGAAACCAGAGGACACGGAGAAAACCCACAAGGTTTGACAGACGACCCTACTCCTGGTCACGTACAAGCTGAGAATCCAAACCACACCACTTGACTCAATGACGTGTTAAACCCAACCCCACTAATTTATCATCAGCGCCCATCAATCTGCATACAAAATGTTTCAAACTGAAAATATGTATTTTTAATAACGATTTAACTGGCCAATCTTAAGATCGAAGTCAAAGAACAATTCTTATAAACACCCATTCACTACCAGAAAGTGCCATCTAGATAAACTTGAATCACGCTTCTGCTTGGAATTTACTTGTATTGGCATCACGACGAGAAGCGTCACTGGTTATCAATAAAATATTATAAAATATTGGCGTTTTTTTAGTCTAATCTGAAATATTCTATTTCTATCTCGACTGAATACATATTTGAGGTTTCTTTGAAAATGGAAATACATTATGTGTTTTAAAAAAAGTAGTCTTTGATTTTTTTTGAATAAAATTCTAGATACATTCAATGACATTCAGTAATTTAGCATTTAAGTTTATATGACGTATTAATATTACATTATCAAATGGAGACAATGACGCGTTTTAAGTCCGCATATGATTTTGAACAATGAGTGGAAAATTTTAACAGCTGAATGCAAATGGGTTGTTATAATATTTCTCATTAAATTTAACGATTATACAACATATGTTTGTTAGCTCAAATTGTTTTATCTTCTGACATTATAAAAGTTGAAATGATATAAATTTATTTCATAATTCTCAGGTTTAATTTCATGCATGTGCGCTAAATGTGTATAACAGCCATTGTAGCTTAGTGGTACAACAAAACGTAAAACATCTACATGAATAACACACAGCTCAAGCTAATCAAAGCGAACCGCTCTCATACGATTACAGATTAGCCTGTCACAAGAAGTATGAAGTTCCGAAATAACATGAAATACGAGGCGATAACTAGCCAGAGTTCTAGGGGAAATTTTGCATAAAAGGGAGAAATTATAGACTCTTAGAACACGCGCAATAAATATCCACCAAAATGTATAGTCCACAAACACAGCCATCTTTAAGTAACCGTAATAGTGACGAGCGTATTTGATTTTTAGAATTGGGTCCATGGATTTATTTACTTCGCACAAGACTTAATGAAGAACTAAATGACATATCAGGTGATTCGTTATATAAGACGATTATACCATTATTTTAAATAATTTGTATGCAGTCACTGATAAAGCCAATTCTGGGTAATGCACTTTCTTTACGGTTAATATAACGTGTTCACTAGTTTATAACCAACACACATCAAGGTCATCCAGGTATTTCATATCTGTCTGTTTGTTTTAAATGAATACGATCTGAATGATAGATAATTAATGTGTAGGGTCTGGTCTATCTATCTGTAGAACGAAAATGATACGATAGCAAGAAAAAATCATCAAACGCTTTGGGGGAATACCATGTCTAACGTTACATGTCAGAGGATGTCAAAGAAATCGTGTCTAGCGGTTTAGATAGAAAGTCCCCGTGCACATATTGTCAGTTCGAAGAAGTGGAGACGGAAACGTCGCTGTCCCGACAAAATCCGCTATACTCCCACCCTCGCCTTGTAGAGCAACCAAAATTATGACAATTACCATGAACTGAATAAACTGTGTTCGAGAGGTTAAGCGATAGTCTAAACGCCCGTTTAAATCCCGTTAGTCGAGGAATGGATATCTACACTAAAATATGTTTAATCATACCTGAATTCAATGGCGTTCTTTTAAATGTACATCTTTCATTCTAGCATATTTGTCTCTTCGTGTTTGTATAACTCATACATCTGATCTCACCTACGCCTTGACTTAGTTCAAGTTACTAATTATTATCAACACTAGAACGTACAATTTGAACGTTCTCCAGAGTAGACTGTATACCAAGTCTTCAATATATTGATCACGAACCTTTCCTGTTAACAGATAATATATATCTTCATGTTACACATCAATATGCATGTTTAAACACTGTTAAATATCACTGCTAAAATGCTTTAGGGGCATTGTTTTCGACAATAACAAGCATTATAACCAAGAGCCAATTAAAGAAGGAAATAATAATGTACTGAACTTGAAAATTTAGGAAACAAGTAAAGAAACGTTTAGTAATAGTATGGCACGGGGTTATATGGAGTAAGGAAAAAAATTATGTTATTATTATATGTATTAATCATCAGAACCTTCGGACACAATGTATGATAACGAGTTTACGGTTCTAGTTTAAAGTGGGGGGGGGGGGTAGACTTATATATTTTTTTATATCTTAAATGGTATTTAACTCTCTGGGAAATGCACCTTGCCCAACAATTTGACAACAGTCGTGTTCATATCCACACACTGTTAATATTAAGAGTATGTGTGTTGGGTGGGGGTGGGGTAGTAGGCATTTATTATAAATACCGGTAACAAATTATACAGATATGCTTGTGACAACAAATGTTTAGCAATAATAAAATTGATGTTTGATAAAATTGATAAAAAGTCAGGACACCATAAGCTTTTGTTTTAAAACATTTACTTTCATTAGTATATTGACAACCCGATACTGTATAATAAGGTGATATTCTATTTCATATATATTATACTACTAATACTTATATAAAATTCATAAATATATATTGAACAGCTGTCTATATGAATATAATAGACATATTTATATTCATAAATGCTTTTATTGATAATTTAATTAAATATGATATAGTCAAGCTTGTACGGTTTATCTGGATTTATGACCGTACCAAACTAGACCATTATCTTTTTACCTATTGTCTTTAATTTCCGTATTTCATTTTTCATTACATCCATTAATAAAAATACCCCAGCTCTGTGGTAGCTTTTATTGTATTTAAAATGTGTTTAAAGACTACCTTAGTTAAAGGGGTATTATGTAAGATCAGATATAGTAGTTAAAAACTGGGTAATGAAAAGGGGATATGTTGAAAATTTCAGTCAAATTACTTCACTCTGAGCCGAGTTATCGTCCTTAGAAGAACAGTGTATTGCTACCATTGTTACGATAATAAACAAAGTCTCGATTATCCATTTTTACGGAAAATCATTAACCGCAAAACGTATTTAAACCTTTTGAAAATTTAGACTATACGATTACACCGAGAGATAATTATGGTCTTGGTTAGTTAATTAATGCCTAATTAATAATATTTAAGGCCTAAAGAAAGACCTGCAATGGTCAGATTTAAGATTTAGCTCTTGGATAATGCCTGTTTGATAATGTTCATTCTGCTGAAATTGATATATTTAGTTCGTGCTTTTGGATAATCTATATGACAGAACCATTATAGTTACATATACACTCTGTGTAATCCGACATATTGTAACGATCCCGAACGATGTCGGATGTGACAGAGTGCACTGTATAGCATAATACCAATAACAATTATTTTCAATCCACCTTATTGCACGGGAATATCATAATCATGTGAAACACGAAACTTTTAACATGTTTTTGATAAACTAGACGTTCCTAACACCAAACTTTGGAATCGGTGCTATACTTTGGATTAAGTTATGTAAATATCCGTAAGACGCCGGCTCACTAGCCTGGAGGTCGCGGTTTCGCGCTCCTGGTTTTGGCCGATAAAGTTCATCGAGATATTCCGACGTGGTTTCGTTTTATCAGTGGTGCAAGACGGAAGGCCTGACATGGGCAGTTCTCTAGTCGTTCGGGTGGTGCGAACAACCGAGGTCCCGTGTACCTATTGGCGTGCACGTAAAATTTCCCTCATAGCACACTGCATGGTATATGCCCGTCTTCATTAGCCCAGTTAGAGCAGAACAGTAGAATGTTAAAAAAAACTCCCATTTCATTTCATTTAATTATGGATATTGATCATGAAAAAGCACACTGGTTGGATTTCAATTTCAGAAACTGCCTGAAAGCTACATGTAACCACCGGAAACAAAATAACCCACTCATGTATTCGTTTTCCACAAGTACATACCCTACAGTTTTCATTGAACAAAGTTTGTTTGAAACAAAATAATAGAATTCAGACAATTCCTGTAGGAAATACTGTGGATGGTTTGTCTTGAATCAATTGTGACTTTATGACACTTTTATCCTTTTTATAGACAAAATTATGCCTTATCTACGAAATGCTTTATTGAGTTTTCAATGGGCAAGTAAGCTTCGGTTCTCTTGAGATATTATTTCGCGCGTTTCTGAATGTCGCAATATATATTAAGATTTCATAGAATTCTACCGTAAAGCCTGTGTCTATCTTTGATAATTTTATCATCGCTGCAAGGCTCTTTGTATTTTAGGACGGTCCAATTTGTTACTTTTAAACAAAATACACCCAGTCTTGATAACTATTTATATTACAAGATTGTGTATTGAAATATGGGGATTATCTTCGTTTCGTTATGATTTGAAAAAGAAAAAGAAAACAAGAAAAATACAAATCGTCTTTTCTAAAAGTATCGCTCCTATGACATTGTGTTTTTCTTGAAAGATTTAGTTTGATCTTTTAGATAAACCCAAGGCGGGCAAAAAAAAACATAGGATGATGAAAACAAGTACGACATTAATGCCCATCTATATTAGACCTTTTCCAAATATAGTTTTTAATTCCAAATTTATTATAATATTAAAAGGCCAAAGTCCAATAAATGCAATAAAAACTAGTCTGGTCAAAAATGGTGTATATATTGGCCCAAAAAAGGATGTAAAACGATCAACTAACTTAACGAATGGTTAACGAAAACAAGCGTTACTAAGTACATTTTACTTATTTCTCGCGGCCATCTTTATTTTATCCGTAATCCACACCAATACAACCAATACTTATTTGCCTTTACATTTTGTTAAATACTAGAGACTTTTGGCAAGTGGAATTTTTCCCATCCGTATAACGTATCCGTATCGTCACGTGATACGTTGCGTTAATTTAGTTTTAGAGTTTTGGCAGATTTTTGCGCCGTCTACGTATGGGTAGCTGAGCTGAGAGTAGTTCTATTACAGCATGATGGCAGTTATCTACCAAGATCAATATCAGTACTAGTCAAGTACCTAGCCTACAAATTCCTGAAGGGAGTAAAGTCGTTCGACTTTCGCGGAGTTATTTAAAAAAAAAAAAAAAAAATAGTGTCGAATCTTATTAAAAATATACCTCTTTTACAGATTTGCAAGGTCCCACCTCCCTAAATTTAGCACGTAGATCAACAAGCGTGCATACAGATAGGAAAATATGAAAATTCCGCGAAAATCTCATCCAAAGTAATAATTAAATTCCAGTCTTTGCCATGGTTAAAATCACATCAAATATACACCTTCGTTCTAGGATAGACATATAGATTCATAAAAACGCTACGGCACAACATTTCAGCGTCTAAAAGTAGCAAAAAAGACGACGACATTTTCCGTATTAAAACTGTTTGATACGTGCTGCCGTATCCGTGTGCCGTATCACGTATGAGAAATACACACGAATTGATGACGTTACACGCAAAATCATTACGGATACGCGATACGGACCAGGAATTTACGCTTGCCAAAAGTCTCTATTGACATGTTACAGCCGTATGTCTTTAAAAAAAACTATTTCCTCCATTCAGATTAATAACATGGAAATTTTAATTAAAAAGTAATATCTGTTCTTAAAATTTTCGACATTGATTAATTCTAATGTAAAAAAGAAATATTTGGCGTAAACGAATTTCCCCAGATTTGTTTTTAAAATGTTCAATATTAACACTTGATTAACATAGATCCGTCTCTAAGGGGTTGATCTTAGGAAAGAGTTTTATATTAATGTGAAGGTAGTGGAAGAAGGCACCACGTAAATTAGATGCATTGATTGGTACAAACACAGATAGCTCTTCAACATCTTTTTGTCTGAGAAATTTTGAAAATGTCATCTTCCTCAATTTCCTGCTTGAATCTGTTTAATGCATGATTGCACAATTTGAGTTATTTGATAAAATTATGTGATTCAAGTTCTTTAATCTTGCAGGGCTAGAGTAAATTCCAGTTTGCCATATTATTGTTGCAGATCTGTAATTGTGATAGATTTAATATGTGAAATGATTCATATATATGATTTTGAAATACTATATAACACACTGCATACATGCATCCATAACTCGGTAAACTCCTATTTATTTATTAGCGGATCTCTATAAAATTTATTTAAAAGAATGTTTAAGGAATGACACAAATTACCACACATGATGATGATGATGATGCAGATATAACAAAATCGAACCACTCTGTTAACTGACGTAGATGAACCGTTTCGTAAAATTTGTGCATCCAACCTCATAAGAACCAGTAGTCAAACAGAATAACACAGAAAGTGCAACCGCACCACATTACCATTAACGATAATCTGACCTACACCGAATTTTAATAGAGGGGAAATAATTTAAAAACCTTTGAGAGCACTTTTCATCAAATAATACTATCAACTGTATGTAGATCAGGAAAGATGAACTGGTCCAATTACCTCGGTAAAAGATGAGGAGCCCCTTCATTTCCACCAGTATGTGGACAGGATGACAGATGGGACTGCTATTCCAATATACCATTTATGAAGAACATTTGACAAGTTCCATTACCATACTGTTTAACCTATAGATTGAAATACTCTTTAAAATAAGAGTAAAACTAGTTCCATTATTAATACAACTATCACATAGCCTAATAATCCAAGGGATGACGCACATTAAAATCCAATATAACATTTCTGATTGAAAACACCATCCGATACAAATTGAAACTCTATATCTTATACAAATAATTTAAAATATAATTTGTATGAATAATTTCATAAAGCTAACAAAATTGGATACAGACGCTTTTTAATTCATGCTGTTTACAGTCAAAGTATATTTTTTAAAACAATGCGTCAATGTAATGGTTATGTAAATGTAATAATGTCTTTATTGAACA